AGCTATCATACTGAATACATATTTACTGTGAATGTATGCAAACATGTATGGCATATGGCTGTCTAACAGAAGTTAAATCCATTGCTCTCTTATTCTGACAATGTACTTAACCCCAAATAAAAGAACCCAATGAAAAGAGTTGTTAAATAATAGTGAAGTCACGTTGTAATAACAATAACTCATCTCTCGAGTTTTATTTTTCAGCTTTGCCAAAAGCCACTGTGTCAAGTGTCCTTCTTGGGTTGCCGTCTGGAGTTCTCCAATATGGCAGACCATCTCGCACATGCGCACTGCAGATCGGGCAGAGCTGCAGATCGGGTAGTGACAGCGCCCCTGGTGCTCGCGCTTTTGTGCGTGCCCGTAATAGTGTTCACTGGAGTCCAGCACCTCAGCAGCACCCCCACTCAAAATACCTTCCCGCGCCTTTGGGGTCACCAGTGTAGAGCCGATGAAAGGGAGTCAGAGGCGGTGTGTTCAATATGGAACTCCACACTTTATTATTCATTAGTATAAAGACAAGGGACGTACATCAGCTCGCTACTCATGTCAAGCTAGACTAACAACAACACCGGTGCACTCACTAACTTGTCCGTGGTGCAACACACACTATATGACTCAGTGAATTATGTCCCGTAACTGTCACCACAATATGCACAAAGATAAATAAAAAAGATTATTATTCATATTCTTATCATTTTTTTAATTATTGAAATGTATACAGTTAAGTTTCATATGGCTGTTGACAGATGTATCCATAGATTTAGTTAATTTTGCCCTCAAAGTGCACAACATTGATGCATTTAACTTCCCGGGGGCCTCCGGACCCCCCCTAGAGGATGTGAGGTCCACCCCCACTTAAAACACATTCACATGGATAGGATACTAAATAAATGGCTGGAGTGTTAGTTGACAGTAGTTACATAAGCACAACTGTGCGTGTGCACGCATGCGGAACTTATAGAATTAGCAATACACCCCTGGTTATGATGATTTTAGTATTAGTTCTGTGATGATGGAGCATCAACTTTTGGAAAAGAAAAAAAAAGTCACTTTAAACATGTGACTGACTCTGTATAACCATTTTTTCCTTACTCTTATGATTTTCGTTCATCCTATCGAAAAGATGGAAAAACATGAGTTCATTGTTTTAACAAGATTTTTCACGATAAAATAAAATACATGAATCCTGTAAACATTTGTAGTATAGTATTCTTCTTTTTTTTATTCCCTGACATGCAACATTATCTGTGTTTCTGTTACAGATGCCGACTCAAAAAGTATGCCAGATTTGCAAGCAGAAAATAGGATTAGCCAGCAGGAAATGCAGGCAATGTGGTGCCAACCAACCCTACAAGGAGAAACTATCCAGCAAAAAAAACACAGTGTTAACAAAGCTTATGACTCAACAAATATACTGGTACGTTTTTTTTTCTTGCAGATGTCAGTTGTCATAAAATAGTGTGTAAATAATCCCTGATCTTAATATTTTTATACAAATTGTTAAATTACTTAATTGATTTATACTTTCCAACAGTCGCCCTCATTTACTTTTTTTAAATAATCCTAATTTCTTAATTAAGTTTATGGGAGAAGTACAGACTAGTGCATGATTACTGCACTTCATATAATGTGTTAAGCAAAATTGTTGTCACCGTTGTATTTCAATCTGTAAAGGCATAACACATTTTTTCATAACACATTCAAACTGATGTTAGATACTTGCAGGCGCCCAGTTTTAGTAAAACATTATTTCTTAAACAGAAGTAACATAGTTCAGGTCATTGGCGATTCCAAGAATCAGAGCTTCAACGTACATGTTTTCTAATTATATCTTACAAAAAACCTGCATTTTGGTGTTTTATATTTTATTTTGGACCTTCATGGTATGGAAAACACAGAATTATGTGACTATGGTTTCCAAAAGTAAAATAAATGAAATATCATACACATTTTGAATAAATGGGAAAACCAAGAATGTCACATAATCAAATGTAAAGATCTAAATAATAAATTAAAAATAAATAAAGATAAAAAATGTTTGGGCTGAATATAGATAGTTTAACATTGGCTCAACTCTGCCCAAAACCAGCCCATATTAAAAGAAAGACAATCAAGACCTGGAAAGAGTTTGTATTAATGAAGAAGCCCTTAAAAGCACTTTAATTTAGTTTATCAGAGTCTGACTTTGAGCCGTGTTCGACCAGTCATTTCAGAATTCACCTGTAATACCAGCTTTACATCTGAAGTGCTTTAGTCAGCAATATTTTTGAGTTAATGCAGAACTTTGAACCTGAAATGAAATAGTTTAGAGCTTGCTGACATGTTTCAAAGCTAAATGTAGCTTATTCAGATATCTGAATGTGAGAGTTAAATGGACCCATATAAAAATGTTAAAAAAAACTCAAAAAGTGGACCTGAGCTCGTTTGTTTTTTTCATGGTGTTTTTTTTACAGTTATTTTTTAGGGGCTCCCCTAAAAGGTGCCTAAAATCACACCTGGTTGATTGTGGGGTGCCTTCCTCAATGTGCACATGTAACACATCAGTGCATTTATCACTTATGCAAAATAAATGTTGTTATAATAGCTTTAGGTGTGTGAAAATATTTAGAACTGTTATGTACACAATATTTCTTGTTTTTTTTGTGTCCATTGTGTTCCAGCTCCACAAATGGAAACTTCTTGAGCGGCATCCCAAGAGAGGCACAAATGGTTTTGCGGCCGATTGCCTCTGTCCATGGCAAATTGAGACAGAAGATGATAAAAATGCACTCTTAACCATAAAGAGGATTTACGAAAGCCTTCTTAACGGTAAAGTATAAAAAGGCGCATGCTATATCGTAAGCCAAAAGTCATTCAGCAATTTATCTGTTAACATTTTTTGTAAATTAATTGCTCAGTTATTAGGTTTTAAATAATAATAAAAAAAATTGAATCACTGTTTACCAAGTAGTAAAAACATGTCGTTATGTCTTGTTTTGTCACTTAAAGGTCCCATGTCATGCTTTTTATCCGTCCCCTTGTGTGTTATGTAGCTGTTTCTGCATGTAAACGGTCTGCAAAGTCACAAACCCTCAAAGTACACCCTGTAGCGAGTAAAACTCTAACACAGAAAATACCTGTCTACACTGAAAAAAAGGGGAAAGTGGGGTTGTTCAATTTGCAAATATGCAGTTAATATATGAGACATAATTTATTCATGTTTCTCGTCGAAACATGAATCAATCATGTAGAACTATTTTAATCTTGAGGGCTGTACGTTCTATAATGGCGCGTTTTCACTGCAGCGGGGTAGCCCCGTTTAAGCGTCCCTAAGCGTCCTTGCTCTGGCCTCGGGCTGCCTCGCTGGCCGGCCCAGGCCGTGGCGCATTTCCATTACAGTTTAGGACCTGGGGTAGTAACGCAGTGTAGGCGGGGCGATCGGCTTTGTTTTTGTTCACATTTCGAGTTGTTCCGTCGAGCTCCCGCTGGATTTGATCATCCCCAATGAGATGTAGGAACGTCGTCACCTCCTCGGTCGACCACGGTGTGCTTTTCTTATTAGACGTAGCCATTTTTGTAGCTCATCCGTTTACAAAATGCTGTTTATAAAAATGCTGAAAGCTTGCTTCTAAATATATATATATATATATGCTTCTAAATATATATAGGGATGAACTTGCGCGCGATCTTGTGACGATTCTCTCTGACCAATCAGCAGTCGAGAGTGTTGACGTCACTAGTTCAGCCCTGGCCCTGGTCTGAGGGAACCACGATTTTATGAGGCCGGAAAAAGAGGGAAAAAGTACCCGCTGGCCGGTACTAGGCTATATGGAAACGCCACCAAAAACCGGCCTGGCCGCTTGAGGACGGTTAAGGACGCTTAAACGGGGCTACCCGCTGCAGTGGAAACGCGCCATAAGTCTCAATCATGTTAAGAAATAAGAAAAAAGTTATGTTTATCTCTGTAACTCCACCCACTGAGCACATACGTCAGCAGCTTGCTCTGCAGCCGATTACTCAGCGTCTTCATGGCCATGATGAAGATCCGGCAGAATTATCCTCACCTGCACCTTGCACAGCTGTTCCACTGCAGTACCGCAACAGTGGGTAATGTGGTGAACATCATGGTCCATCTGCTCCACAGGTTGCTGTTCAAAAAATGATGTCCACTGTGCCCAGTAGGCAAAAAAACCAAAACAGCATGCCTGCTGCTTTCCAGTCCTCTGCCTTCAACTGCAGAATGATTGTCGACTGCACCGACATCCACGTGGCCGCCCCAAGTCAGATGGACCAAGCCAAGCTGACATACTCCACCTACAGAGGGATGCACTCCTTCAAAGTGCTCATCTCTGTGGCCCCAAATGGAGTCATCAACTTCTGCAGCCAACTCTTCCCGGGCTCTGTGTCTGATAAGGCCATTATGCAGCATTCAGGAATTCTGCAACATTTAGTGGCTGGCGACCTTATCCTGGCAGACAAGGGCTTCTTAATATCTGATATTGTGCCTGCGGGTGTGATTGTGAACATTCCCCCTTTCCTGAACAAGGGTAAGTTCACAGAGAGTGAGGTGAGAGCTACCAGGGAAATAGCCAAGAACAGGGTCCATGTGGAGAGGGCAAATGCCAGAATAAAGGAGTTCAGGATTCTGGACCTGATTCCTTGCCACCTCAGGAACACTGCAGATGTGCTGGTACAGCTTTGCTGTGCCTTGGTGAACCTGCAAAATCCCCTGATAAAGGAAGTAGCCAGCACCCTCACCGTTGACTAAGCAAGGGGTTCCCAAACCTTTCAGCCTGCGATCCCCAGGGGCAACATCCAGCTGGCCCGCTGCATCCGGTGAGACCAGCCCAAAGTCACACAACGGCTCTTTTAAGAGCCACCTACACCTTTTCTAAAGAGTTACAATCCTAAGTTATTATAATGATTACACTGGATCATATTTTACTCAGTTTACTGAACTGTGATGCATGAAACCAGAAGGGGAATTGTTGAGGTTTACTGAAGTTACAAAGATATGAGTATAACAGGCCAGTGTAAAAACAAGCTTCTGTCAGTCATGAATCATTCAAACTATTTATATAACCATGTAATACAGTTATGTAGTAGTTCAGTAAAAGTAATTCTTTATTTATATGTCTTAAATATCCTTTATTTTAGAGGGGCCTGAGACTTAACATGTTTATTGCCCAAAACTGCACTGTAGTTATTGTGCATGTGACAATAAGGCCTTAATATTAGGGCTGCACGATATCAGGAACACATAACACGATAACACTTGCTATATTTGAACAAAAACGTACACATGCAGCATTATTACTTTTTCAACAACATGGGATTTATTGTTTATTAGTTACATATCGTGTGTGTGTGTGTGTGCGTGTGCGTGTGTGTGTGTGTGTGTGTGTGTTTATTTATATGTCCTCCTCTCTACTGGCCAACACAGGGAGCATATGCTGAGTGTAGTGTTCTCCAGGAGGAGGCGATTTCCATGCCATGCAGGGTCTTTGTTGATGGGGATGACGATCGCCTCTTTCGTGGTCCACACAACAAAATAGCAGATACTCCGGTCTGTGATGTGCAGCTGCCCTTGGACCTGGTGCCAGTATGGGTGATTCTCCTTGAGAACATAAGACCCACCCTCCTCACGGAGACAGAAGGATGGTAACTGGACTGCCTCCGCGATGGTCATGTTCCTCTGGCTGTGTGGACACTTCACCTCCAGCAGGGCAGATGGCTGCACAAGTCCATCGGGTGATGCTCCCAAAACACCCGACTCACTCACAAAGAGACCAGCGTCGATCACTGTCACCCGATAGGCCTGCACAAAAGCCTTCACCCCTTCGGCCTCATTTACAACTCCCCAGTTGACAGCCATGACTCCGTCTAAATTGTAACCCCCAAGCACCCTCTTCATGAGGGACGCGCATGGAGTGGATGAAAGTCCCGACCTCAGCACAGCACCAAAATTGCTGGCTGTCAACCTGTCCTGTCTGTGTAACTGCCACTGGGGATTTGTCCGCTGTTGCTGTCGCATTGAGGCAAGAATTGCCTCAAGCCCCCGACCCCCATGCTCCTTCACCAGCTCCGGCACGGTGACAATGGCCTGATGTTGAGGCTGCGGCTCTGGCTCAGGTGATAAAAGCCATGCCATGCCACACTGTGTGCCCCTCAGTGCAGACCTGAACCAGTCTACATCCTGAGTGGCGATGTCTCTGGCCAGTGGGTTGTATGTCTCCTCTTGCTGTTGATAGAGTTGAGACACCGGCTGGACTACTTTGGAAGTGCCAGGCTTCCTCCACTGGCACTCAACATCTGTGGAGCTGATCTGCCACATGGCAAATATTGCCAATGCTGCAGCGTGGCTGCATTTGTACATCCCCCGTGCACAATCACAGACAGCGCTCTGCATCGCGCCATCGTCTCCCATGCAGATCTGTAAAAATAAAGTAAGTACCATTTGTTAGCATGCTATAATAGATTGAATGAGCAATACAAGGATGGTCAGGATCTGGGGGTGGGAGGGTTTATTTTTCCATATATTTGTCTGATTGTTGTTATTGTTTGATTTTTCTGTATTACCTTTGAGGTTGTTGTGTTTAATATTCATGAGAATATTTGTCATTGTTCAAATGATAATAAACATTTGCATAAAGCATATTTGTCCACTCATATGTTGATAAGAGTATTAAAAACGTGACAAATATTCCTCTAAGGTACATTTAGAACAGATACAAAATGTGCGATTAATTTCCGATTAATCGAGATTAACTATGGACAATCATGCGATTAATCGCGATTAAATATTTTTAATCGACTGACAGCCCTAATTTTTTTAAATGTGTATGAATACATTTTGAAAAACATTTGATCAACAAAAAAAAAGGATTTGATCAGGATCTAGACTCAGTGTGTAGTTTATTAATTAATCAATGCTCTCTACATTAGGAAAACACGTAAGAGAGGGAGTCACACACAGCTGTGCCTAGATAACCAAACAAATTGACAAGATAACCAAAATCCTTGAATCTACACACAGCAAATAAACTCAAATGACACAAAGGAGATCACACATACAGTATAGTCGATATAAAACTGTCCGCTTCAATCTGAAGAGCAACTAAAACAAAACACGGGAGTGTACCTTGTTCTTGTGAACACTAATGTTATCCACAGCATACACAGAGACCACGAAGTTCTTAAGGAGAAAAGTAGTTGCTAAAACAAAACACGTTAGTGTACCTTGTTAGCTAATGTTAGCTAGCTGACATTAACGTTACACATTGCACTCATATTACTCACCGAAACCTTGTAAAGCCGGTCCCGCATGCTGGCTCTTACAGAACCGACTAACTCCCCTTTCATATAGGTACAGTTCTCAACGTGCCCAGACTTGTAGTGATTTTCACCTCGTAAAATACTTGTATTCTCATTCTGAAAGAATGTGGTGAAATGTGCTAACGTGACGGCCATCTTTATGTTGGTGACGCGTATTGTGCGAGACGAGAGACCTGTAGTTCACTGAGCGGTTTCACACGAAAAAATGTGTAACTTCACAGTTTTACGACACATTTTTATTTTTTTGACTTGCAAAATGTTCTTTTAAATTGACAAACATCATATGTGTCATTCGTGGCACAATTCAAACGGGATCAAAAGATAACCTTTCTCTCTCCATTGACTTCAATGTATAATTTTCCGCTTCCGGGGTCCCATGGAGGCTTTCGGAAGGGGAGGGACTTCGCCTCTCTATTATTTACAAATATTTTATTCACAAATTAATATGGTCGGACTCAAACCCGTACTTTAATAGTTTCGTAATTTAACCTGAACAATATGGCACTTTAATGGACAAGATGTAAAGCAGAAAAAAATTGCAAAATATATTTATTTTTAAAAATGTGAAGCTTTTTCTTTTTTAAACAAAGGAGGGGGGGGAAGGGTTCTACCATTTTTTTTCTTCCCGCATCGGAGGAGTAAGCTGGTTCTGTCCCGAGAACATCTCTCCAAGGTAAAAGTTATTTAAAGTTATTTAATGTCATCAAATGTTCGTCATAGTTACAGGTTATCACAAGACGCATTGTTTGCCAAAAGCAGAGTTCACATTTGCCGTTACAACGAGCAACGTAAATACAGCTGTCAATTTGTAAACATTGTCATTCACTGGTGTTAGCTAGGATACAGCCATGAAAATCATAAGGTGAGTTTATATTGATTGACTTCCGTTTAGCGTGTTTTTATACTGTGAGTAGGCTATTTGTAGAGCGTAAGTCCGGTGTTGCAGTATAACTTGAGTCATGACAACTGGCGACATTCTATTATTTTCGTCATAGGAATCCGGGGCGTGTACATTGAGGACCCATTGTTGACTTACCAGGAAATAAACATGTCGATCGCCTCGTTTGTCATTTACGTTCATCTTTTGCTATATCTGCCTTCCTAAGATCACTTTGATGCACATTCAGTACTCGTATGTGAGGTTGTGGGTGAGAGGTGGATATCGTGACGCTTACAGGGAGGTATCAAACATTACAAAGTATGTGACTGTGGATGCCTGTTCAAAATATTGCAAACTTGAATAAATCATTTAAATTATATATTTGTGTCCGACTTTCATTTGTACATCGTTATTAATGTGATCTATATAGTGTTAATTTCGTCAGCTATTTTTTTATTTAGTTTTAGTCTTAGTCCTTTGTTAAATTTCCTTTTTAGTTTTAGTCATATTTAGTCACCTTCATCCTGTTTTTATTTAGTCAAGTTTTAGTCGACTAAAAGTCTGAGCATTTTAGTCTTATTTTAGTCGACTAAAACAGTAACTATTTTAGTCAAGATTTAGTCGACTAAAAGTCTGAGCATTTTAGTCTTATTTTAGTCAAAGAAAACTAATTATTTTTAGTCTACTTTTTGTCAATGAAAACTGTTGAGTCTTTTTTAGTCATCAGGTTATATAGAACATTTCAGTCAAACTAGTCTAGCCAAAACCAATAATTTGTCATTTTAGCAAATATAAATAAATAAGATTATATATTGTCCTTACTTGATGAAAACCACAGGTTGAATGATTAAGAAGCTTTGCAGAGAGTATCTGGTCAGGTTTGTGTTTTTTTTTACCTGTGTTATGGCCACATTGCTTCCCTTCTGATGAAACAATGCATTCACGTTTTTTCTCCGCCTCATTGTAGCGAAAATGGGCCCAAATATCACGTTGTTTCTTTCTCCCAAGCAGTGGTGGCATAAGACTTTTTCGTTGTCAGTCATTTTGACGGACAGGATCGTAACATTTCCGTCATAATCCATTATTACCCGTCAAGTACACCATTTATCACTCACTCGCGCTGACGGGGGGGGTATTTGGTTAACGCGAGTGCGACCACTGCTCCCAAGCCCTGTTGTTGCCATTTTATTTTATGTTGAATAAGGTTAGTTAGAGACCATGAGTTAGACCCGAGTCTTCCTGACAGTTCATATTGTGCCGCTGCCCGGTGTAATTCAAATGTACCGCCGTGCGCAGCACAGACACACAGCTGCTGCCCTGCCGCAGCACCGGAAATGGAACTGCTGGGAGAAAAACTGACTATCAGAGATGTAACGTTATCTTTGATAATATTTCGTCTCCTCATTTTTCGTCAACGAAAGTAAAGAGAGATTTTGGCATAGTTTTTATTTAGTAAACTACATTTTCGTCTAGTCACTTTTCGTCAACGATATTACATGATGATTTCGTTACAGTTATTGTTTACTGCCGTCGGTGCCGTCTCGTCATCGTCTCGTTTTCGTCATGGAAAAAAAGGTCGTTGACGAACATATTTCGTCATTGTTTTAGTCAACGAAATTAACACTAGATCTATAGTAGCTTTGATAGCTGCCCATACCTTCAGACAGCCTAAAAGTAAAACACAAGTCGTTTATTCACAGCCCGAACGCTCATCGAGATGACTGGATCACTCATGACAAGTTTGTGATCAGCTCCGATTAAATTGTGATATAAATGCTGTAGCTATTCTCCAGGGAGCCCGTTTTTTTAATGAAATACCTGTATCCCGCTCATCACAACAAGACTCTACACTGTGCAGGAAAAACAATTACATAGGCTACATGAAAATAACCTTGATGCATGGGAATGAAACACACAAACTATCTTCCGTGGCTATACTGATGTCACAGTAACGGTCAACCACAGAAACGTAAATCCAGCGGAGCACAAGTTGAATACATATAAAACATTTGTACATCGTTCTTAATGTGATGTATAGTAGCTTTGATAGCTGTCCATACCTTCAGACAGCCTAAAAGTAAAACACAAGTTGTTTATTCACAGCCCAAAAGCAGCATCGAGATGACTGGATCATCTGCAGTGTTGGGCAAGTTACTTCCAAAATGTAATACAGTACATTACTTATTACTGTCTTTTTTAAGTAATAGGTTACGTTACATTACAATATTTTGTCTCTGAAATGTAATGATCTACACTACTTTTATATTAGCCTACTTTTGATCACAAATACATGGATCCTGAGATTGAAGCTCAAGCCGGTGACCAGTGAGATTGTTCTAACAATTTCCAATAAATGTTATTCTGAAACATAACTATCACTGTTGTCTTTCATTCTATAAATGAAGCGAAAAATATGTCAAGCTGGCGCTTAGCCCTCCAAAAAGTGCATGGTTGCAACTTAGACAGTTAAACATTTTATATCAGTGGGTCCTCATGGTGCAACACGGAAGGCAGACAGAATTGCTTAGACACAGGTGTCACATGAACTTTAAATGTTCTGGAAAGTTCCTTACAGCTTTAGCCTTTTTTATATCATGAAGTCCCTAAGACACACACTGAACAGTCTGGTGGGTTATGGTTCTTGTCATTTGCTTTTGTGTTCCCATAACAACATGTCCAAGATGTCCATGTGCCAGGCTAACACATGTGACAGAACTAGCTACATTTGGAAAGGTTTTTTGTTGCTAAAGTTAACATTCAAGCCATTTAAGAATACAAATGCTTACATGACATGTCATTTGTTAAACATTAAGCTGTCTTGGGCTCTTCTCTGATTCTGATTACATATAACCTGTTGTACAAACATGTATTGATGAAATTGATATGAAACAAATTCCATAAATATTGCTGTGACACTGATGTCACATCGGGACATTAACCCTAAACATTCACAGTAAACCCGGAGTGACATATATATGCACAATTACAAATATGATTATGATATGCTCAGTTAATTTAGCTGATTCAATTATATTTAGTTAACATATTCTTTATTATTCAATTTAAAGTATGTTCAAACAAATGGAAACCAAAAAATCATCCTCATTCATGAAGTTATAAATAAGAGTTACTTTACCATTAAAGCCCAATGTGACACATATGTCACATTTCAGATATTTGACACTAGGGGGGGTTACTTGTCAGAAATGTGTTCTAGGTGGTGTATTTAGTCTAAATGACGTTCCCCTTAATTTCCCCAAAAGTAGAAATGGGTCCGGGTTCTTATGGGTTAAACGTATAGGCTTAAAGGCATAATAGAACTACTGTATTATATGTATTCAACGTGTGCCCCGCTGGACTTACTTTTCTGTAGTTTACTGTTACTGTGACATATCAGTATAGCCACGGAAGATAGTTTGTGTGTTTCATTCCCATGCATCAAGGTTATTTTCATGTATGTAATTGTTTTTCCTGCACAGTGTAGAGTCTTGTTGTGATGAGAGGGATACAGGTATTTCATTAAAAAAACGTGCTCCCTGGAGAATAGCTACAGCATTTATATCACAATTTAATCGGAGCTGATCACAACTTGTCATGAGTGATCCAGTCATGTCGATGAGCGTTCGGGCTGTGAATAAACGACTTGTGTTTTACTTTTAGGCTGTCTGAAGGTATGGACAGCTATCAGAGCTACTATACATCACATTAAGAACGATATACAAATGAAAGTCGGACACAAATATATAATTTAAATGATGTATTCAAGTTTGCAATATTTTGAACAGGCATCCACAGTCACCTACTTTGTAATGTTCGATACCTCCCTGTAAGCGTCACGATATCCACCTCTCACCCACAACCTCACATACGAGTACTGAATGTGCATCAAAGTGATCTTAGGAAGGCAGATATAGCAAAAGATGAACGTAAATGACAAACGAGGCGATCGACATGGTAAGTCAACAATGGGTCCTCAATGTACACGCCCCGGATTCCTATGACGAAAATAATAGAATGTCGCCAGTTGTCATGACTCAAGTTATACTGCAACACCGGCAGTTGCTTGATTTACAATATTTAAAACTATGAACCTTGCCCAAAGTTATGCACATTAAACCGAGCTCAGTGGGGAGGGGGGAGTCATAGCCGATGGATGAGCTTGCGGCATGTTTGCATGTCTATATGTATTGTTTTAAATTATTGTTTCATGTCTGCTGTCAGGCGGTGTAGAACTTTACTGAGTCGGTCCGGCTCTGCATGTCTACTCTTGTGCCGACTTTTAAGGGCGCTGATGCAGGTTGTAGGCCTACCTTACGTTAAGCGACCATCTTTACCCATTTAAGGTGTTGATTGTTAAAGATACAATATTGTCTGTGGGACCGCAGTGTTTTCCCTAAAAAACTGTGTTTATGTCTCTGCTTTGATCCGCTCTGTGTTCATTTAAATACCGTAAATACACACAGATCAAAACAGAGACACAATATTGTGTGTGGGGGTGTGTCCCGGAAAGCGACACTTGATACTGGAAAGTGGAGGATATTAATGATTGTGTTACATTTTAGCAGCGGTGCACATACCATGAATATGGGGGACATGCCAGACAGATCAAGTAAGGGTTACGATCCACCCGCTGTGAAATGAACTTATCTTCCATATTTGCCGTACACTTGTGTTTACGGAAGTTGAGATGTTTCTCGGTTGTGATTGGTTGTTCCTCGTCACATGACGAGCAGCGCTGCTGCAGTGCAATGGAAATGAGCTCGCAACGCTGATGTGTATGGCTCAGTACAAAGTTGTACTCATTGCATTAATTAGTATAGGCTACTGTAGCTTTTTACACTGGAGGCGCCCATCTCGGCCGAAGTCGGTTCATATTAACCTAAAGGTACATAATTAAATGGTAAATGTCGCCTTTAAGGAGCAGAACATTTTTGTTTTATTTGTGTGTGAATAATGAAATAATTTCAAATATGTTTTTCTGTGATAGGTAATTGGTGTGGAGAAGATTGACCTCAGCCTTGCTTTGAACATTGTTCCAAAGGCTCTGTAGTAAATGGTGAGTATTCAAATGTTTTGTGTGATTTACTTGACTAATTTAAACTTGATCTTTAACTAATTGAAAACTGGTATAAGTCTAAGACAATTTCTGAATATTTATTCATAACATTTACATACTGCAAACATTGCAGGGATATACACATTTTCTGATTTATTAGGCAAAAGTTATTCAGAAAGTGAGAGACAAAAGCCAAACATTCTGCGATAAAGCCTCCTTCACAAAAGGGATAATGTTTTGTTTGTTGAAATCGCTATAAGAGTCTTTCTTATATGTAGTCTTACATTACAGTAATACTTATTTTAAGTCGCTTTGGAAAAAAAACGTAAACTAAATGAAATGTAATGTAGTCTAACCTGGTTGTTCGTACTTGATATAAAAAGTTATTCTCACTATGGAGCCAAAACAGGAGTAATGTAGTCCCTTTTCCGTGCTCTGGTCAATATATTTTGAATCAGTTGAAGCAACTTAACTGACTTTTTGGCACACCCTGATAATAAAGAGTTACAATAAGCTAGCCTTGAAGTAACAAATGCATGGACTAGTTTCTCTGCAGCATTTTGAGGCCTGGTATGTGATTTTGTAAATACATTTAGCACACAACTACAATCATAACATAATTAGAAAATGAAATGATTTCATGATTTTTATGACTGTGATATTTTGTTTTCTTTGATAAATGCGGAGTTTAAGCGTATAACAACCCTGCCCCTCCAATCAAGATTTCTCTCTCAGCTGGATGTGCTATCTGACAAACTTCTGAAGGTTTTTGAGAAGAGAGGAGGACAGATAGGCCAGCGTCTGAACTGTATTATGTCAAACATGACTCAAGTAAGAATTCATTTTAAGGAAATTATACATTGAGTCAATAGTGTACACATTTCATTGAGCAAAACAGATTCTTTATTTTCTTATTCCCCTTCACTTAGGTTGATGATGTCGATTTAGGCCGGGATTATCTTCTCAAGGCGCTGTGTGTACACCTCAATGAGAGAGTTTGTGGTCAGTAGAAGTAATATTTGACCTTTTTATTTTTTTGTTGGGCATTAAAATGTATTTATTGTAACACCACATAGTATATAGCCAAAAGTATGTGAACATCCCTGTTTTTTGTTTAATAGCCAGACTACACTGAAAAGCTAGAGGGCTTTTAATTTAAAACGGATACAGGAAATGAAACATTTTTTATCAGGTCAGACAGGAGTATATCAGATAACAAGGAGGCTTAAAAGTACAGAAATCTGTACCGTAAATGTTGTATTAAATAAAGTTAATATTACCGACGTAGATTAACGTTCCTGTAGCTTCTTATTACACTTGCAATTGTTTTAGTTACTTGTGGGCTACTTAACATGAATAATCACAGTTACTATCCTTTTACTCCATCACATTTCAAAAAGAAATAGGCTATTGTTATTTTAACTCCACCACAGTAATCCATCATCAGCTTTACTTTTTAGATAAAGTTTTAACTCACAATTGATCATAACAGGCTTCAAGTTCAACATATACATTTTTATATATTACCAAGTGGTTTCATGTACAACCCACACAAGTATCATGCTAAATGAAGCTCTGTTGCTTGGATATCACTAGATCCTGATGTCAGCGTAATATAAAAGTACATAACGATTGATGTGTAACTTAGCATAATTTACTAGCTAGCCGCTAGCTGCTAACTGCCGCCTCGTTAATATAAATCCAGTACCATGCTGTCATGAACGCGCGGTGCTGTTACGTGTACGCAAATTCACGTGCTTAATGTGAACGAGCCTTTTGGGCGGCGTGGTTAAAGTTGCGCATGCTCCGAGTGCACATACGGGTACTTCTCAGGCATGCCGGGTAATCTGTGACGTTTCGCTCTCTCAAAAGTTGGGCCATTTTGTCATCATGCGCCATTGAGCAACTCTCATAGGAATTAATGAGGCCCCGCCTCCCACGCTGTATCCAGTTCTTATTATACATCCATGGAAATAACTCTCAGAATAACGTTATTAGCACATTTTTACAACTTGAGGAACGAATGTTTTTAATAAGGGCTATAAGTGTTCATACTGGATAGTTTATTTAGTTTAAACGATTTACAGACCACTCTTTCCCCATGTAAGTCAATGGGAAAAAGTGTTTCCGGGCCTGGCAACCAAACGGAAGTGTAGTACCGCCGTTTGGCCAGCACGAATATTTTCATCTGAGTCCGGCGCGCTTCCTGGGGGCTTGGTGTCAGGGCCTTAACAGGTCCGTGGCGCAACACACACTCTATAACAGTGAATTATGTCCCATAATGTTCCACCACAAAAGCAAGCAACTGCCGGACTTACGCTCTACAAATACTCACATTAAAAACACGCTAAACACAAGTCAATCAATATAAACTCACCTTATGATTTTCATAGCTTTATCCTAGCTAACACCAGTGAGTGAATGACAATGTTTACAAATTGACAGCTGTTTACGATGCTGGTTGTAACGGCAAATGCGAACTCAACTTTTTGCAAACAATGCGTCTTGTGATAACCTGTAACTATGACGAACATTTGATGACATTAAATAACTTTTACCTTGTAGAGATCTCCTCGGAACAGAACCAGCTTACTCCTCTGATGCGGGAAGAAAATATGGTTGGAATGTTGAAAAGGAAAAAGTGAATATGCGTTCCAGTTGGTTGAGAAGGTTGTTTTTTACTGAATTCTTTTATGCACATTAACTGAACAGACAACAACATGAAATGCCTTCTCTTCAAGGTTGGCAAGTATCACCTTAGTGTCCCTTTTTTTTTTTTTTAAAGATCAAGCAGGATTCAGATGAATCAACCTTTAGTGCTTTATTAAAAACAAACAGAACAGAGACTCTCTTGACAGAACAGTGTGCCATGGCAGCACCAACATAATGAAATGATTGCAGAATACATTTAATTCAACAACATGTAGCTAAGGATGGTGTTAAATGAAATGACTACAACAAGAAACTAAGATATTCTTAATGTACATTTTGAAATGCAGTATGGACTTCTTACTTTGACAAATCTCTTTGCCAGTGTCTTGTGGCGATTCTCCACCTTCCTGTGGTTCCATTGCATAGCCAGCACGGTTATCATATCTGCTCTAGCTGCAAACTTCAGCTTCAGAAAATTCATATCAGCTTTACAATGTGGCACTGCTTAAAACAATTTGTTTTCCTCTACCAATCTGATTTGGTCATGTATTTTGTTGTCAGAGCTGCCCTTGAGAGGAGGCTGTTAACTTGTTCCACTTCCTCTCCGACAGTATTTCCAGCACCTTCCTGGCTTCTGCCACCCCACTTCACCTGCTCAGAATCATAAACAATAAGATCTAGAGATTTAGTTCAATATTATCATTTCTTGTACTGTACATCTTTAGTTAACAGGAGCAATTTCAGAAAGTTAAAATGTTCTGAGATTGAATTATGCTTTGAACTACAATGTCACAACTGCAGTTATTTGAAGCTCTGTTCAATCATTATTTTCTACATTTGGAAGCTTATCCTTGTGACAGTCTGTTTTGTAACAATTTTGTCAACATTTGTAACTATTACAATTATTCCACAGGCTTGCATAGAATATACTACATGATATTCTTATGTGCACTAACATTTCTAAAACATCTGAATCTAGTGACACAAATGTTTAACTTGCATACTGTACCTCACATTTGCCTGTGTAGGCCTTGGCGTGCATTACAGAGAGAACAAGTTTCATCTCTGTAAGTGGTTGGAGCTCAGGCAACTTCGCTGCCATCTTCTCAAAATAAGGCCGGTACCTGTAATGACTAAATCAATTAGCTTTTCCAGTTACATGATGGCATAATAGTAAAAAGATAAACCAGGTCCTTCAAATTACCAGTAAAATCCTTGTAACCAACAACAGCATTTATCCAAATGAATGCTTTTTTGCTTTATATCTACTGGATGTGCAGGAATTAAATAGATAACACATTTGACACAAACACTTCGAATTGTTGCAATAGTTATAACTACCTGCAGGCAACATCCATGCAAAAGAATGTTGCATTCGCAACTTCAGCCAGCTCCTTCTGCAGGAACATTGGGTAGGCATATATTTCACGGTAGTGATTTAGGCCTTGTAGCAAGATGCCATGTCTGCACACAGCTATTTGCAGGCCTTCCTCATCCACCTTGGCCCTGGACTTGTATGAGGTTTCTCTGCAAGCTGTGAATGTTGCCAGTCCACAAACATCACAACTTTTCTGGAATAGACACAATCTGTTACATTTAACCCTGTGCTAAGTAAAAGAAATAAAGGGTTAGTTGGTAGAATAGATTCTTACACTCGTCATCTGGCTCCTGATTTTGTCGACAAAGGCAGACACTTTACTGTCCTGGGGCCTCATTTATAAAGGGATATACGCTCAAAAAATGGCGTACGCCAGTTTCTACGAAATGTTTGCGATTTATAAAATACTAACTTGACGGCAAAACGTGCAGTCCTCCACGCAAACTCTAACCCATGCGTACGCACTAAGCACAAAAACGGGACAGACGAGAAACTGCGACACCATTGGCAGAAGGAAGAATGGAGAGAAATATGTGGAAATAATACCATAAACAAAATATTACCTCTCATTTATCATATATGAAGAATTCATTTTCAAACATTGATTAAAGCCAATCTTAAAATTATTAAACAAATGCCTGTTTGAGACTCCTCAGTGCACACAAAAACATAACTTGGAGAAATAAATAAATACGGATATGTTATTTAAAACCACCTCGAATATGTTGTGTTAATGTTATGAAATGTTTTCTCATAAATGATGCGGTTTTGCATTTCTATAGGTTGTACGAGCATGGTTTTATATACTACCATGTTTAATCATGTTTTATGCCGTTTGCTAAGACTTGATAAGTCGCTCATAAAACACAGGAGGTATGGAAACTAAGAACACCATATGTGGTAAATTGTACAGCTAATATAACAACACATTAGTTGTATTTCCAACTGGTGGATATAGAGTTGCTGCAGTGGAGACGCTGCGCACAGCTGATCGACAGCTGGGACACAAACCACCAAATACGAAAACATAATTCGGATCCAGTTGTCATGACTCCACTCCGGAGGGATTCCCCGATCATTTCTTACAGTCTCTCATCAAGGGGGGTCTCCTGTCCCCGGTACAAGCACACTGCCTGAGGAAGGCTATGTGTATTTTTTTTGTCATGAACCTTTTTCGGACCACTTATTTATTTATTTTGGTGACGATCCGACCTTCATGCTGCTACTCTAGTTCAAACTGCATCCACCAAACAATGATTTATCTCGACCTCCCCAAAATAACCAAAATCTGACACGGTGTGAGATGTCTTTTTTAGCTGTTCTGTCGTCATTTCCTGCGATCTTCTTCATAAAGTCAGTCAGAATGAATGAATGAATGGGCATTTCTTTGACTATTTATAGGCAAATATGGGCGTTACGTGAAGCCCGCAAAAGCTGCACCACAAACCAAATATTTTAAATTGTAGATTTGGGGAAAGTTAAACATTTCAGCAAAGACATTCAGCTTAGTCAATAAAACAACAACAAAAATGAGAATATGATTTCACTGACCCTCTGGACTTCTTGAAGCCGTAATGCTTTCTATTGCCATCTACAGCAATAGCCAGCATGTCTGGTGTGCATGCTGGGCATTTAAAGGGCTCCACCAGATCTTCTTGTCTGTAATTACAGAAGGCAAACTCCCGAAAGACTCTGTGGAAGGTATCGCTACAAATTCTGCCTGTCTGGAAACAAGAATGGTATTCATTTGGTTAATTAAAAGTTTGGAAGTTTGTTATTCAAAAATCTTGAAAACCACATTTTATTCTTACCCTTTCTGTGGAAAGCGATCGATGTTCAAGCATTTTTATAAATACTTGCTGGGATAATGCTGGGCTGGCCAATTTCATTTGCTCGAATGATGTGAACACATCAAACTTAAAAATGTTGCAGCTGCTGGTTGTTGGCCAGTATTTGTATCCAAGCAAGTCACCTATGCTTGGGGACCATTTGGTGGAACAAATTGGACAGCACACAGAAGGCAGGCAAACGTTGTATGGACCTGACAACAAATATAAATGTGCAATTTGACAGGTATCTATGCAACGCAGGACAAAAGTATAATAGTAATCCTGTATTTTTGCTTGACCACATCGTCTTCCGGTGAGAACAAACCATTGAGAGTCACCAACAAGTAGGGATGCACCCAGTGCTTGAATTGGAATGAAAAAGGTGCCAGTACTCTAAAATCAGCA